TATCAAGGTGGAGAAGATGATCCAAAGGCTCAATGTCAAGGGTGTGCCCATCCAAATTCAAGGTTTTATCTTCACCAATCAAAGAAATGAGCAAAGAAAAAAAAGATGCTATGGATGCGAGCGAGTTAGGGCACTTTGTGGAAGTTTGTCCAAACAAGCCCATACTCAAGACAAAGAAGAAGGTGTGCAAGGACAAAGCCCTCACATCAATAAGGTCATGAAATAATTCTTCAAGTAAAGAAGAAGACCATCACAAGAGGCGAGGCCACAAGCACTCATCATTAAGCTCTTCTCATGTGTGCCTTATGGCACGAGGTAACAAAAGCTCATCCTCTAGTGAGAGTGATAGTGATGATGAAATGCCTTCTCTTAATGAATTTGTGCAAGAAAATCTTAAATATGCTAAGGCTTTCACTGGCCAACGAAAGAAGCTAAAAATATAGCAAGAAAAGCCGGATAGTTCATAAGAAGCATATAAAACCTTGCTTGAACAATATGAGACATTTGATAATCTCAATATTGAACTATCTACTAAAATTGAGCAACTTGAGGCTAGTGCAACAACAAATGCATGCACAATCAATGATGAGCAACTTGTAAAGAAAAATGAAAAATTAAAAGAAAAGTTAGCTAGCTCACAAGATGCTTATAAAAGTTTGCTTGGTAAAATGGAAACCATGTGCAAACATTGTGATGAGCTAACTAATAAAATTGCTAATCTTGAAGCCGTTGGTACAACCCTCACCAAGGTACCTAAAAAGAAAAGTTCTATCTTTGACATGCCTAAAAAGGATGCTTCTACTTCTTGCAATGATTTATGTTTAGACTCACCCTTGTGCAACCAAATTTGTGTTGAGAAAGTTGTTGTAGATACATGCACACAAGAGGTCGTAATGAAGAATGAGCAACTCAAGCAAGAAGTGGCTCGCCTTACCAAAGACTTGACTCAAGTAAAAGGCAAAATAGAGCAAGCCCAACATCATCAAAATAACCACGTTAAGGGAGTGAAGAAGCTTGATAAAGGACAAACCATGGTTTGCTACGTGTGCCACAAGGAAGGCCACAAGTCCTATGAGTACAAGGTGAAGAATAGGGGAGGAGCTAAGAAGAAAGAGAAAAATAAAAAGAAAACAAGCAAGCTCTCCAACACCTACACCAACAAGGTAGACAAAAAGGCATCCACACCTTATCTCTTGAAGAAGAAGAAAAATAACAAGGTGGTGGCCATCAAGGTGAACAAGCAAGCCAACAATGGGGCCAAACACATTTGGGTGCCAAAGAAGATCATTTCCAACATGAAGAGCACCAAGAAGGTTTGGATCCTGAAAGGGAAGTGAGAAGTCCGATGGACTTCGAGGAATTTGGAGACTTAGCAAAGTATGGGTGTATTTCATGGGGTGCATCATCATGGACAAGGTAATTGCCAAGTGGGTTAGTGAATACTATGGACCAAAATTTCCCTTCCCATGTTATGTAACTAGATTTAATTTGTTGCAATTTTAATTAGCATCTAATTCCTTTTCATGCCAGGTTTGCATTTGCATGTTTAATCTTTTGTCATGCATACACTAGGTATATTTTATGGTAGGCTTGCTCGGTTTCACTCTTAACCCTTGGAGCAAACCTACATGGTTAAAATTGTTTAGGAGCACGACACATAGCTTGTTTTACAATTGTTCATCTAATATGTGCCAAAGTCCAAATTGTAGATAATTTCTCCCTAATATTACTTTCGAAAATGATTCTCACATTCATGTGATGTCATCTTTCAAGTGGTATTTTTTATTCTAAAATCAATGTGCATGTCTCCTACAAGCATTTCATACTTGTGTGCACAAATTGAGGGAGAGGTTACTCTACAAGTTGGATGCTTTGAGACTAACACCTTTTCAAGCTTATCATGTGTGTAGTAGTCTCATTGCAAGGAAAATGGTGTCCCCAGAGTTAAGCATCATACTTCAAATATCCACCACCTATTGTAAGTGGTATAAATAAAATTGGTTTCCACATGTTGTATTTCTAAACCGATATCATTATGTTGATTTCACTTTGGTATTTATATGTTTTCTCCATGCATTATATAGATTAAACTCCCTTGGGTATTAATTTATCAATTATGCATAAACTACATTCTTCATCATATGTATGCATATATTTAGGGGAGCTTAGTCTATGTAATGTGAGAGTCAAATTTTGTGACCTATTCCACCCACATACAAAGTATCACAAGGTTTGACCCTCTCTTATGCTACTAATGTCTTTATTTTCGGTGTTTAATTTCAAAGGGGGAGAATTTATAGGACCAAAAGTAAGCCCGATCATAATAATCTACAAGTGGTAATGGTCCGAGTAAGGGAGGATAGTGGATTATAGAGTTAGGGTAGGCTTAAGTCCATAATGCCACATGGGGATATTTGCAAGGGCAAGATAAGTTTCTAAAGATGTTTACATGTGGTATATATTAGCTTACATGTGGTATCTTTTAGCATCATATAACCTTGCCCATTGCATTGCATCCTAGCAAGTAGATAGTTTTTAAATTCTAAAATTTTAGTATTTGCTTGTTTTGATCGTGTTGTCATCAATCACCAAAAATGGGAGATTGTAAGGAAAATGGATCCTAGTCCCATTTACTTTGGATTTTGGTGTTTGATGACCAACACAACCAAATTGGACTAATAAATTTGCAAGCAATTGTTTTGTAGTTCAATAGGTGGTAAGATGTGATTTGAACGAAAGCGACATGATGATCCTACGATCAACACTATAAGCAAGACCCTAGAAGCACAAGAGAAGACCCAAGATACCAAGTAAAGTACAAGCACGAAGATGAAAACCAAGACGGACGCAAGATCATGAAGAAACGAGCTCGACAGAGGTGACCGGACGCGTCCGATCAGTTGCTCGGCAACAGTAGGCGTCAGCAGCTGTGACCGGACGCTGAGTGAGGTAGTGACCAGATGCACCGATGGCACTGTTCTTCGTCACGACAATGTTTTCAGCGTGACCGGATGCAGCGGCACTAGATGACCGGACGCACAAAGTGCAGCATCCGATCGAGTCCATAGATGTTCTAGAGCGGCGCCAGCGCGACAGGACGCGTCCGATCGAGTGAGACCGGCTTGGTCCAGAGTCCGATCAACGCTGCGCGCTCTAACGGTCGGGGCGACCAGACGCGTCCGGTCAGTAGCAGAAAGCTAGGTTTTATCCCCAACGGCTACTTTCTCTATGGGGCTTATAAATAGACCCTCCAACCGACCATTTGAGTAGTGAAGAGCTGAGGAAATATACTAAGGGTGTTGATACATCATTTTAGTGATCTCCACTTGCATAGTGCTTAGTGATTCATTAGGTGATTAGCGTAAGGTGCTTTTACGAAGTGCTTAAGTTGATTAGACCACCGCTTATGCGCTTGCTCTAGGTTTAGGCCTAGTGTTTAGTGAGGTTTGCACACCTCTTATCACTCGGTGCTTGCGCGCACTATTGTTGTACATCGGAGGGGCTTGTAGTCTTATGAGATCACACCAATTGCATTTGTGGTGTGGCCGCCACCGTGTATGGAAGGGAACAAGGCCCGTGGTGGTTCAGCCGGAAGCTTGATAGTGAAGACGGCGGGGAGCGGTCCGGGAGAGGCTTACCGGAAGGCACAATGGAGACCCACTTGCGTGTGGGGAAGGCCCGAGGCTATCCACGGAGTTACCCGACTGTGAGCTTGGCCCTTGTGAGGGATTTCTTACGAGAGGCTCCAACGAGGACTAGGAAGAAGCTTGCGCGCTTCTCGATACCTCCATAAAAATAACGGAGTCTCGACAGGAGTTTGCATATCTCTACTTACTTTTTAGCTTCTGCATTTACATTGCAATCTTGGTTTGTACTTTACTTTCCTAGCTTAGTGATATGCTAGTTGATAGGTTTGGAACCTAGGTTGCATAACTCCTTTTTGCGGCAGAGATAGCAACACACCTAACAAAATCGTAGTTTCACATCTAGATAGTTTATCTTTTGCATAGTTTTTTGTTAAGGATAGAAAAGAGTATATAGTTTAGAGTTAGAGTTTTAAGTTGCCTAATTCACCCCCCCCTCTTAGGCGTCACGGTCCCTTACAGGCTGCCGCACTTGCGGCGCCCTTTGGACGTGATCCAAACGCACCCTATATTACAACCCCAATTGCAAAACAGGTCATTTTCACCAAAACCTCAGTTTCGTGGATCTAGAGTTGCTACGTAGCCAAACAATTTCATGGTAGATCCTCGACGAAGCTGCTAAATAGTGAATACTAGATCTAGATTTACTTTTTCCAATGATGGAGGTCTCCCAAAATGCCCTTAAGTGGCTCTTCCAAGTTACGTGGCCATTTAAAACTTTAGTTACAAATTACTTTGTGCTGAGTGGATAAGTGAAATTAAAATGATTTGATTGGTTCCGAAACGTTATCTTATTTAACATACGTTTACTACGTTTGATAAATACTTTCTTAATCGTAAATTATAAGTCATTTCAACTTTCTCAGATAATCAAATTATCTCAAATTTTATCAAATTTATATAACAAAATAATAACATTTATGATACCTATTATTAAATTCTTTATTAATTATATTTATCACAAATCTTTATAATTTTCTCTATAATTTCTATTAAACTTTAGATGCTTTGACATAATTTGGAATGTTGAGAGTATATCTGTTCAATATTATTTGTTTACCTTAATAGATTAAGTTGACACGTGGCCATGAAGTATATGAATACAGGAAAAGGAAAAAAGTAATAGCTCTGACCGTTTCTCTCAGTTAGGGGGAGAGGGAGAGAGGACAACCGTCTTAACAAATACTCCGTACTAACCAACCTCAGAAAAAATCACCAGCTGAAAAGCACCATCCTCTTCCTCTTCCTCTTCCTCCGCCCCCAATCCCCCTCCTCGTCTCACCACAGGCCACAACCCTAGCTGCCCCCGAATCCATGGATCCCAGCAAATCCAGCACCCCTCCGCCGCCTCCAGTCATGGGCGCCCCCATTGCCTACCCTCCGGCGGCGTACCCTCCCGGCGCCGGCGCCGGCGCCGCCTCCTACTCCCCGCAGCTCTACGCGCCGCCCGCTGCCGCGGCGGCCCAGCAGGCGGCCGCCGCGCAGCAGCAGCAGCTGCAGATGTTCTGGGCGGAGCAGTACCGCGAGATCGAGGCCACCACCGACTTCAAGAACCACAACCTCCCGCTCGCCCGCATCAAGAAGATCATGAAGGCCGACGAGGACGTCCGCATGATCGCCGCCGAGGCCCCCGTCGTGTTCGCCCGGGCCTGCGAGATGTTCATCCTCGAGCTCACCCACCGCGGCTGGGCGCACGCCGAGGAGAACAAGCGCCGCACGCTCCAGAAGTCCGACATTGCCGCTGCCATCGCCCGCACCGAGGTGTTCGACTTCCTCGTGGACATCGTTCCGCGCGACGACGCAAAGGACGCCGACGCGGCGGCCGCCGCAGCTGCTGCGGCTGCCGCTGCCGGGATCCCGCGTCCTGCCGCGGGAGTACCGGCCACCGACCCCCTCGCCTACTACTATGTGCCTCAGCAGTAATGTATCATCATCGCCTTGTTATCGTTCCGTAAGCGCAGATTTGTTGTTTGTGACTGTCTTAGTTGTGGCGGCTGCTGCTGCTGTTGTTACCGCGTAATAAGACTTGTGATTTATGGGCCTCCCTCGAGCTTAAGAATTGAGCGTTTGATTCTAGAATCCGGGTAAGATTGTTGTAAGTGGGGGGCGCCCTTTGATTGGGCTGGTAGTGTATGCCTATTGCCTAAGCCTAACTCATGTGATGCTGTAATGCGACAAGTATTATGCGGTTGTCTGGTAATTATTGTGCAATTGCTGCTCTTCATGCTTCTGTGTAACACTCTAACCAGAATGTGGCTGTCTCATGAAGGTGCTTGTCTGATGCTAACAAGCTTAAATATTTAAGTGATTTGAGCTTTGAAGAGTGTTCCTTAAAGTTCTGTTTGTTGTACTATGCAGAGTAGTAGTTTAGCATGGCATGGAATCGGTTAATGAACTGAATGGGTGAATGTATTTGATTGGACAACGTGTTTCTTCTTTGTGTCGTTATCTGGTTAATTGGATATACTTTAATTCTTTTACCGTTTCCTTTTTAGATGATCTCCTTTTGTTGACACATGTTTTGTTTCAAGCTAGTCTTTTAATGGATTATATAAGGTTTAATCATTTATTTCTTTAAAAAGCTTTCAAAGTAATATATTTAAGCATGATTTTTCATTATTGATCGGTTAGTTCTGCAGTGATGACCTGACGATCTGTTTATCGAAGGGTCGTTACCTTAAACTGCAGATTTGTGTATATGCAGTCTGTATGCATTTCCTGTTATGCGCTTGTAGAATATAAAGCATATAAATTATTGGAGCTTGCAATGAAGAACCGTATAGCTGTGCATAAAGGATAGTTTATTTGTCCCATTTTCAGTTTTTCAGTGTCCACACTTCTGACCATTGGGGCTCATGTGTGGTTCCCTACTTCCTAGCGATTGATTGGTCACCGAATCAATGACAAGTATTTGTATATGTTTTCTTCTTCCACCAATTTAGCCGAACATCACTCATATGGAGCCATTGGGTACTGGTCATACACGTCATGCGTATTTGACGATTGTTGCGATGTCTACTCATATGTAGCCATCGATATTGTGTACATGCATTGGTCGTACGCGTCATGCAGATTTAACGAGCATTGGGATGTTTTTCTCTCCCTTTTGGAGCTTGGTGATAGCTGAGATCCTTTCATCGAAGCATGTTGTGTTAAATTAGCCTCTTTGCTAACACGCAGCTCAGCATTTCTTTTTGCTGGAATCATGAAACTCTATATGATGTTTGGAAATGTCGTCAGCTTTGCCTTTATCAATACCATGCTAACTTGTGCTTATTGTGGGGAAAAAATGCATGTAATTAATTTTACTCTGCTCATTTCTGTATCATTTTTTTCATACTGCTGTACACATCTAGTGTTAGAGGAATTTAGTCTTGAGCTTGGCCATTGTATTCTGAACTTACAGGAATTCGTATGATCACTGAACGCTTCTATTCTTCGCACTCAGATGGTTTTGTAGTTGACTCTGGTGTTCATCTAAGTATTATTGACAGCATAGTTTCCTCTTTTATCTGATTCTGAACGAGTGCCTTATTGGTTTTGTTTCCCCTCTTGTTGACTGTGTCTTGTTGGTATCTTTTATGCTCAACTGATTGACTAAACATTTCTGGGATGCAAATATTTGAAACCTAGACAAGGGGCAATGGCATGATGAGTTTTGCAACACTACAATCCTAGTGGTGGTTATTGCTTTGGACGGTATAGTGCCCTCTACTGCTGTGATCACTCTGCCATAACCGCCATATGCTCACATTCTGTTGTTAATAAAAGATGTCATCCAGGAGAGCAGAAGTTGTTTTGCATCCTGTAATTTCAAGCATGTCTGCAGCTGAAAGAGTTGTAAGCTTATTTGTGTTCCGTGTTCGTAGTCTTTCCCTGCAAACGGACTCTGCAGTTGCCTAAAGCCCTAACTTCAGATCGGGCAATGCAAGCAACCGTGTTTCCCTCAAAACCCGCAGGCAGGACCAGGTCGGCGGCAGCGTCCGGTGACCCGTCGCGATTGGACCGCGGCTGCTCCTGCTCGCATTGGGATGCGTCACCCCCTGCAGCTCTCCCGCCAAGTGAGCGCGCGCGCGTGTCCTCACGCCGCGGGCGGTTGTCAGAGCCAGAATGCTTGCAGATGCAGGCGGGCCACCGGAGCGAAAGGGACACGGGGCACCGACCCGCAGGCGTTGATGACTTGAGAGGCGGCAGCGAAGGACAGCCCGCGCCCACGAGCGCTTTCAGCAACAGCCAACAGGGAAAGTCGCGTCGGAAACCAAACGTCACAAAAGATCGTATTCCGATCGTCCCAGATGGCAGCTGCTCTTGCCGACACCAGGCCAGGCCGTTTGTCCAGCCAGCCGATCGAGCGGTCACAAGGTTCGTGTGCTTCGATCTCCATTTCCTATCTGATCAGATGGACACAGTGCAGGGAGCTACGGCAGCATTCCTCCCTCCGTGTCACTATGCCAGGCACGCATAAAACGCCAGCACGGCTAGCATCCATCAGAGAACGAGCAGACGTCCGTTTCACGTCGCTCACGTTCCTCGCACACGCCACAATGGACTTGCATTCGCAGCATACAATCGTCCAAGATTTTGTTCCAAACACTTTCAGTTCCGTGTCGCTCTTGATCTCCGATCATCACCGTATCGTCTCCGGCCATCGGTCAATAGATTTAGGGTGCACGAACTTGTTTCCTTGCAGACAGCCTAGGAGGAGCGAGTTCTAAAAGCCCAAGCATAGCACTGGGGGTTTTGCTTCTGTGACTCCCATGGCGTGCCTCCTCGCTCTGGTCAATGGTCATCATCGCCGCGGCTTTCTCGGTGAACAGTGCACACATGGCTCAGGGCATGTTTAGTTTCCAAAAATTTTCACCTCAAAGTGTCACATCGAATCTTGCGGCATATGCACGGAGTACTAAATGTAGACGAAAAAAAACTAATTGCACAGTTGGGTGAGAAATCGCGAGACGAAACTTTCGAACATAATTAGTCCATAATTAGACACTAATTATCAAATACAAACGAAAGTGATCAACAGTAGCCAAACCCAAAAAAAATTTTGGGAATTAAACGCGCCCTCAGATCTTAACACGCAGATGGTTTCAGTTTTGTGACGAATTCATCAGCACGCATTTTTGTTTATTGATTGATCCTTGCCTTCTTGGGCTTCACTCAGTGCGGGAAGGCAGGAAGCTGACGCATGGAACGGTGCTTCACTGCTCCAACATGGCCGGTCGACGCCTCCGGGCTAGATGCCCTCCACAGACACTCCAATAGTGTGCCGCTGCGACTGTACACGGTCCGCGCCGTGCGGGCTGTCGACGGGTGCAGGTTCGTTGTGTGCCGCCGCGACGCCGGCGATGACGAGCGCGACGCCGTGTACGGGTGCCGCGCGACGGGCCCCGCCAGGGCGTACGTGGTGGGCATGGCCGGCGAGCGCGGGGAGACGGCGACCGCGGCCGTCGTGTGCCGCACCGACCACGTCCCGGTGGAACCGGGCGCGCGCCGCGTTCTGGCTGCTCGGCGTTGAAGCCCGGAGGCGCGGCGGCGGTCTGCCACGCCGCGCTCGACGCGCAGGTGATCCCGGTCAAGAACGACAGGTGCTCCACCTTGGTGTAAGGGCTCCGACGTGTCCCGTTTGTTGTTGTAGCTATACATAGCATGTGGTGAAGCGTGTGCTCATCCACGTGTAGTATGTATTCGCTCTTTTGATCCACTGTCTGTGCTTTGTAGAGCGATCAGCGTCAGAATAAAGAAATGCCTGTGCCTGTTTACATGATCGCTCTATGTCCTTTGAACTGAATAACTGATGAGGGGTCATCTCCATGAAATGTGACGTGCCAGACGAGACGATGAAATGTGCTGTTTGACAATGAAATGGGGATGTGCAGTAGTGGGCCGGAAAACAAAACTAGCTCAGATGCAAACTAGACTGATATGTGTGAGTATTCCATACCCTCATGGGCCTCCAGCGACGGCTTCCTATGGTCCAGGAATGCAAGGGCGTTTTTTTTTTTTGCGAGTTACTAATATATGCAAACAAGGTGGTCAGATATGACTGGATGCATACTCTCAACAGTCGAAAATATCAGAAAGAAAATGTGGATACAAATAGCAAGTAACTGAACGCTCTTTTTAGCCGGAGATACCAGTACATTAAATACTCCCTCCGGTTCTATAAAGCAAGTCGTTTTGGACATCGATACGGTCTTTAAGAAACGACTTTGACTACAACTTTTTGCTATAAAATATTTATAAAATATAGTCAATATATACTTTTATGAAACTACATTTCGAGATGAATCTACTTACATCACTTTCATATTTTCAAACTCAACCCAAAAGAAGTTATTTGTAGTCAAAGTTTAAAATGTTTGACTTAAGACAACCTTAAAACGACTTGCTTTAGAGAACCGGAGGGAGTATGCATGGAGCAACATCAGTAGTTTCGGTACATACTACACAGAGCCTTGGAACTTGATACTTGGGAGCAGTACATACATGGACAGGCCACCTGTGGTGGCACTCGCCAGACGCACCTTACTGTCAGGAGAAGGGGCACGGCTACTGTTGGTGGTCCGACAACGCCGGCAATAGCGAGTAGCAGTGGCTAAGTATCTGTTGGGCCGCAGTTGTGATTAGTCGGCCTGTTATCACTTTAAATGGGCCAATGGCCTTGTAATGGGGCATAAAACCCGATGTCCGGGCGAAGGGGAGATCATCGAAGATCTGAAACTCTATTCTGCATTCTGAACTCAGTTTTCCATTCAGTTACAATTCAGTTACAGAGTAGTTACGTTCTGCAGTTCTTAGTTATTTCGATTTCACTCAGCTCACCGTCAGACTTATCCGTCGTCTGACACTTACGTAGCCGAAACCGACCGCGTCGGCGGCGCCATGCGCGCACACCGGCCATACGCAACGAGATAACAATT